AGAAAAGGGAAAAAAAAATGGCGGGCAGCCTTGCTTGGCGACCCCCGTGAAATGGTCGATCGCCCCCAAATGGGGTCACGACCCATAGGTTGAGAACCGCTGATTTAGTCCTTGTTTCGTTTATTTTCGCTAATTGTATATTCTGCACACGCCAAGTCTTACGAAATATAAAAATATGAGGGGCTAGGATCAGTATGAATTCTGGGTAACATTACTATTTAACACGAAGGTAATGAGTTGAAAGACTAGTGAAAGGAGGCTGAAAGTCTAATTATTTAGGCTAATTTAGATTTTTCCAACAGGTTGTTTTCCAAATCAGTGCATCTCTGTTCACGACACCTGTTATAAACTCAGTATTAATCTCACAGCTGTGTGCCTACATCAGGGGTTATCCTTTCCATCCGTTCTACAGTTTCCATGATTTTAGCCATAGTTTATGTCTCACACTTACACACCCCACACCCTCACACATTCTTCTGCTAATTCTAACACTAGAGGGTGCCAGTCACTCACAATTCGGAAAACAGATACAGCATTTTTATTTTTATTTTTTAACAGAAATCAGAATGAATGAGTGTGTTTGTTTTATTTTGGTTTCTTTTCATGTGACGATTGCTGGTATATTTTTCAAGGATTTTTTTTAAACTCAACTCTCTTTGTGTGATTTTTGTATCTTAAGATGACATGAATGGGGAACATACAAACATTTGTAATTCATAAATAGTTTTAAAAACAGCAACAACCAAAGTTACTATCTTTTTTTCCACCCCTGTCTAGATTATCTAAATTATAGTCGCTCTATCGATACTCAAAAACTAATTTTATCGGCTGTTTGGTATAAGTATTGGTTGGAAACATGTAGAAGACGCCTTCAACCTGTAGTGGACAGGCTAAAATGATGAGGACAATACTGCTAAGCTAAAAAAAAAAACCCAGTTTGGTCATGAATATTGGGCTTGCTCCTTATTTGCAGATTTGCTTAAGTGGAGCCCAGAGGTTGAACTATACTTGGATGGTTCAGTCTTATTCCCTATTCTTTTGCGAATTTACCAAATGAAACGTCCACTTTTGCAGTTGCACTGTAGATGGTAGTCTTTTCCCGTTCATCTCGCGGGAAAAGGGGGGTGAAATAAATACTTATTTAATTCAGCACAATCCATCATCAGGCAGCTGTTCGGAAAGTAGCATTCTAAAACGCTCTCAAATGTCCACTAGCAAAAATAAATGAAGGGCATAGTGCATTAAGGGATTTCCAACCGGGTCTCTCAGGGCAGAGAAAACGGTTGCATGAGAGAGAGAGAGATAGCTCCTGGGACAGATTACGACTCTCACTGCCTTTAGCAATAGCTTCCTAACTAATCAGTCTCCAGCTTACACCCAGCTCCTCAGCTGAACCGTTTCCTGTTTGCTAAAATTGGGACATTCCCAATGAATCTCCGAGTTAACCCCATTTCACGGCCTCCCATGAACAATCATAATGGCCCTTTTATTTCTAGGTACGGCTCCTCCCCACTGTGAAATTATGTTCTACTTGAAATGCTCTTTAACTCAAGCGTCTGTCTCACTGAATCGGAGGGCAACTGTGAGGATAATTTAAGCATCTCGAGATAAAAATACACGGAAATGTATCAACATTTCCAAATACGTTTGGGCAGCAATCAACCAATCAATCAATCGGGGTAATATGTAATATGGTTGGCAACAGTACCAAGAGAAGTGAACGTGTTATTCTGAGGTTAGTTACCTCTGGTTGAGGCATACAGAGTAAAAGCTGCTATTGCTACCATGTAGAGGTTTTTTGTTGTTGTTTTGGGGGCGTCAATGATTCATAGATAAAACAAGGACTATCATAGTTGGGCTGCAAACCTCCAGTTGATCAGCAGGGGGCAGCCTTTTACGAAGTTTTATGGCTTCAAACTTTTAGCTCTTTGCTGCCACCTAGCCGTGGCCGGAAGTTTCACAGTCCAGATTTAATAGCTCTGAGTTACATCAGATGATACGTAAGAATTCAGCTCGATCAAAAAAAAAAACCTGATTTTTTTTTTAAATTTTTTAAACCAACAAAACAAAACATAACACACATACACACACAGTGTACAGTCCTCTTTTTTAACAGCAATTTCGTAACGGTAATCTTCTATTATTTACATTTCCCCCCCTTATTCTTCTTTAGATATATTTGTCCTTGTTGTCCCGTTGTTTCTTATTTGCATTTTTCTTCCTTCATACTATACTTCATACTAAGAATAATACATATTATTATTACTATACATTATTATGCACACATTTCCAACTTTTAACCTTTCCACATTTATTCTCCTCTATTATTTCTAGTCTCCAACCAGTCATACCACTTGTTCCATATTAGATAGTGCTCTGTGTCTTCCTTTTCTTTTATCTCTTTTGTTAATTTGTCCATCTCAGCACGTTCCAGGATTTTTCTTATCACTTCTTCCTCTGATGGTATATTCTCATTTTTCCAGAACTGTGCGTATGCTATTCTTGCTTCCGTTGTTATGTGTAGAATTAAGTACCGTATTTCTTTACTATATTTTCTGTTTAAAATACCCAGCACAAAGATCTCTGGTTTCCAGTCTACGGGATGGTCTATTATTTCTTCGATACATCTTCTTATTTTAGTCCAGTATTTTTTCACAACTGGGCATGTCCACCATAAATGATAATATGTTCCATG